CTATGGATAGCCCAGGGAATATGTACATATGTATAAAGTATACACATGCACACTCCCATACTCCCCTCAGAAGGGGAGTGTGGGACCGCACTCCAATCACAATTGGCGTGCAGGTCCGCACGCCAACCTGCTGGGGGAATGCCCGCGCAGAGGGTTGGAGTGCGGACCCGCACTCCAATTTCAATTGGAGTGCGGTCCCACACTCCCTTCAGAGAAGGGAGTGTTGGAGTGTGTGTGCGAAGGGGGGTGGAGTGTGATTATCACTCCCCTCGTGCGAGTTCCAGTCATTTGAGCTCCCAGACCATCAGACCGGGAACCCCTGATTCTCGCGCAAGTTCCCAGGAGGCCATTTGCAAGAGAAACCCGGAGCCACCTTTCAAAGCCAAATCACCCTTCGAAGCCGCTCCAACACCAAGATGCTTTGAGGAAATCACATTCCATACGCTGCCCTCGCGTGAATCCACCCCGGCTGACCTAGAGGAGACAAACCGAGGGACTCGCCAATCTTGCTCATCCTCAACTTCCCAGCATTCGAGTGGCCAACAGTCTCCTCATTCTCTTAGGAACGCCCCTACCCCTCCTGGTAATCATTCACCTTCTCAGGATGATCATTCGGAACCGGTAGGCAAGGCTTCATTGCCTACAGACCGCAACAAGTCTGATGCACCTGAGGAGTCTTCAATGCCGACTGGTCGTGAAGGATCCGAGTCGGTAGTGTCAACCCATCGTGAAGCATCCGAGGAATGGTCAATTTCGATTCATTGTGACTCTGGAATGGGGAGGTCAACCGGGGCGGGACCAGACTTGACTCAAGAGTTTTCCAAGGATGATCAATCAGAAGGAGAACAAGAAGAACCATACAATCAATCAGATGTTTGCCATATTGGATCACAACCCAACCCTGACTCGACCCAAGATCTTGTTCCAGATGAATCACAACGGGAAATGTCACGAAGTCAGAGCTCCTCTCACCAGCACAGAGATCGAGGTCGCAAGCGCAAGTCAGAACCCCCCTCACAGTGGCCAGGTATGTTTGTTTGTCTTTCTGCTACTCTCTTGTATGCTGTCAGTTTCTAACTGTGATTTTCTGCAGATCCTTCGGAGCTCTCTTGGGCACAGATTGAAGCGTATTTAGATCATTACAATCTAGTGCACAACGGGGGTACTCAGATCGCACGGCTTGTTGGGAGCTACAACCTCCTACGTTCGACTTTATCTAAGGATGACGAACAACAACCATCCAAACAGCCCAATGCTAGAGCCTCGCCTGCCGTGAGTATAAGTATACGCCAAAGCAGGCGAGTGCGAGCCCAAGTGGATGAAAGTAGTGATGAAGAGAGAGTTGGATTCATATATACGCCGGCGCCTCGCAGTCGCTCCATCTCTCCGGCCTCTCCAGCCTCGTCTTCCAACTATCAACCATTGGTGGCGTCCACTGATCAGTCATCGCCTACATCTATCAGTGTTCATTCTTCACGTTCAACCCGTTCGACCCAAAGAAAGTCCGGCTCTCCTATCGAACATGGCCGACAGAAAAGAGCCAAAAATCCGAGCAAGACTAAAACCCAGAGAGGAACTAAAAAGACTAAAAAAAACTCGCAGGCGCGGTCGTCCATCCTTAACCCGTAATCATGACGAAGGCGACTCCATTAATTTTGTCCCTGTTCTTCCTAAGAGTTCAAAGAAGAGGCCGCTGGCTGATCCTCCCCCCAAATCTGCCCGTGCAAAAAAAACTTGCCCTGGTCCGGACGATCCTTCTCCCTCCGACCTGCATACACGTCCTCAAGCCTCAACCTCTCGTCGAGGCAGACAGCAGACATCTCGACGAAACAGCTACAATGTGCACCCGTCCTTTCACGACAATGAAGAGGAGGAGCCGTGGTTTGTGCCGCCACATGAAAATGACAGGTCAAACCCGGGTGCTCCGAAGAAGAGGAAACAGCATGAAGCGGCTCATGACTCAGATGCACTTAGGCCTCCTGGACCGAAACAAACTTGGGCGGTTGCTGCTGATCCATCTGCTTCACTCAACTGGCAAAAATCCAGGCCTGCTCGCGGCCGTCAAGGCTCAACTGAAAGACAAAGACAAAGCAGCTACAGTGTGCACCCATCTTTGCACGATGAGGACGAGCTTGCACGGCATGAACCTCACGCCCCCTCGCGCAGCCGTAGATTAATCCGTCCGTCTGTTGACCTTGACCGCAGACATGATACGGCTGCTTCTTCCTCTGATCATCACAGCCCACAAGCTCACCCTTCATCTCGTGCTCAGGGTCCGTCGCAGGTCTACGATTCAGATGCACATTCGACTGCTGCTCCAAGGGCCAAAAGAAAGCAACCAGACCATCTTTCTCCGAGCCCCGAACGTTCAAATGGAAAACAACGAGGAGGCCCTCCGCTTAGCCTTATCCCTACTAATGCGCAAGTTCACCGGAGAAGACACAGAAATAACCGAGTTCAACGCAACAGCCTGGTGATTCGCCTGTCATTCAATGACGAAGAGGAATTTGTACCCAAGCCACATCCTTCAGCGAGTGGTATTGTTGGGCACTGGAGGAGTTCTTTGCCTAGAGACCTGTCACCTCCACCTTGATCATTGCCTCTGCCAGGTCACGATCACCCTCGCGCTGGACCCGTGGCTGGATGTTCATGCGTGGGTTTTGGCCCCGAGATTTTGTCTGAGATTACCCGGTTTACCCTAGTGACTAGTTGTCTAGCCGACTGTGTCAAGCGGAGCAATATGGCGTCGCTAATGCAGAGCACCAGTCGAGATCAGATACCTGCAAGCCGCCCTTCAGGGTATCGAGACCTATCTCTTTTAGTAAGTAATAGTTTATATGTTGTGCTGATCTTAATTGATTGACTTGCTGACCAACCTCTTACATGAAGGCTCGAGTCCGCCTACATGTGAAGACCCTGTTTGGTAAGACCATGGCCTTGAACTGTTTCCCACGTCCAGCAACTGAAAGCGAGAAGGCCAACTGGAAGCGGAATGGGGAGGATGACTTCCCGGATTAGGACGACCAGAGCGACTGCAGCTCATCAAGCGGCTATTCGGGTGATGACGATGACCCTGGGTTTCCATACCCTGATGGTCCTGGCCATAGTGAAGCATCCACGACAGCGCACAAGATCATGTGGCGCTCTATGATCAAGTGTGGTGTAGTATCATTCCGGCCTGACTTGAGCGGTGGACCCTGTGATGTCGACAACAAGTTCCTTTGGGACCTTGCTCATAGGATCTTCATCAAGTTAGTCAAGGCGCAGGAGTACCCTGAAATCAATCTTGATAATTGCTCTGAGAAGAAAATTCACCTGGCAATTATGAATCACGCCAAGCAATTAGGAAGAAAAATTGCAAGGAGGCTGGGATCCCCGACGACTAGACCAGAGGGCTGTGCGCAAACGTCGAGAAGCGCTTACCAAATGAGTCAGCAACTGAATTATCTCTTCTGTCACTACAAAATCTCTCTCCGTTAATTGCCTCTGACTAACTTCCTTGCCGTCACTTGCAGCTGCGCCAAGCCCGAGCTAAATTTGTTACCCATAAGGTGAGACTCGCACCGCTACTGCAAGTGATTAAGTCCTGCACTAGCAATGCCAAAACGGAACCAAATTCACCCAACGACATGGACATGGGCAGTGACGGCGAGCCAGAGAAGCGTCTCGTCGTCCATCATCTGCCTTGGCGCCATCCCAGGATCGGAAGGGCCTTTCAAATGATTGATCGGCTGATCGACTTGCAGAGGCAGTCTGGCTCCCGTGATTATGGCAAGAATTCTCATGCGCGACTTCGACCACGTAATCCAACGATTAGCAACCACCCAGCTCCCCCCAAGTTATCACATCATGCCTACTGTGACGAGTGGATTGCGACCCTGACAGTTCCCCAGTTGGATGAGTTGGATGTGCAGGGGCACTCGTTGGGGACCGCTTTAAAGAATCTAGAGGGTATGGTATGACCCCTCAAACCTTTTCACCCATGAATAGTTCACATTTCTTGTTTCTAGTTATAAATATTTTTGTTATTCTATTTCTCAATTCATACTTTCAATTGTAAATAGATTTTTTATTTATTACCTATTTCACATGTCCATATTATATTCATGTGTTTATATTATTTCAACTCGCGTTTCATGTGTTCATATTTTATTTAACTTTTATTATGTATATAGTGTTTATATTTTGCCTCCATGCAAGACGCCATCTTTTGCTACCCAAAAAAAGCCACAGCCGGTAAGCCTGATCTGGTTAGAGATAGCCGGGTCAAAAAGCAAAGGCCGTGTCTCAAAGCGCAAAGCCTGTGTTTCCTCAGCTCACAAAGCATGATAGCATCCTCCATGACCAGCGGCACGTGTGATTTAAATATTTACAAAGTCAAGATGGATACCAAGATCGATGCGTCTGATAAGCCTAGATGATGGCGAAAAGCCTATGAAAAGCCTATGTTTCCTGAGCTGAAAAAGCATGATAGCATCATCCATTACCGGCCGCATGACCGATTTAAATATTTACAAGATAAAGATTGAGAGAAATAAATCCTAGTACATCCAATAAGCATAAATCCTAGTACATCCAATAAGCTAGAAACTGTTCCACTAATAGGGTCACAAGCATAGAACAAGGCGAAGATCAACGGAAAGGGCGCGATTTCATACTATTATGTAAATGAAAGTGCAAAGGAAATCGTTGGCTGGGGTGGGTGCTACAAAACCCACACAATCCAAATAGATCCTCAGTCAGTGTCATACTTGAGTCAGTGTGTCAGCCTTAGAGCCAACCAACACCAGGGGAAATTCCAGGGCACTGGACTGCCAGTGACTGCAATTCACCAATATTTCATTCAAAGTTGCTCAAAAAATATTTTGGATGGAAACCAAAATTCTCATTAAATTCACAAAGTCAGAAAATGAGTTGACTTTGTTTTTCACTGAAGTAGAAAATCAATTCACTCATAATATAATATGAAGTTCACTTGAATTTCCTGGGGAACTTATTTTTTGATTCACTGGAAATTGTACATTTTTTTTCATGATATGATAATATTAAAGGGCCATCATCAAGAATCACACAATCTGTAGACCCTGTAGAGTTGAATTAGGCCTTGAATGCCGTTATCCCTCACATGCATCTAGAATTTTTGGCCCTAGATCAACATTGGCAAGGGACACAGATTTGATGTGCAGACCTCCAAATGTAGGAATTACTATCAAAATCTGAGGACCCTACAGATTTATCATTTCATGTAGGGCCTCGAGGGCCAGATTTCTTCTGTAAAATATGAATGCTTTAGTTCTTGATCAAAATCTGTGAGGACTTGAAATTTTACAGAACTTCTGCTTATATATTTAGGGACTGTGCCACAGCCCCAATTTTTAGGTGAATTCCCAATTTCCAGGTTGGAAACTGACTCTGCCAGAAATGGTGACCATATACCATGCACACCCAATTTTGCACAGTGCAGGACAGATTTTCAGTGCCAACCCCAAAATGAACTTTGGTTAGTGAAAAATAAAAAGATAAAAAATGGAAATGGAAATTGGCTGAGGTGCTATGGTACAGGCCCTTAGGGTGAAATCATTTTCAAACTTTTTCAAATTTTCTTGCCATCTTCTCACCAAACTGGTAGCATTTGACATGCAGGTTACTCCCAACATAATTTGTGTCATTTTGAAATCATTTCCAATTCAAAAAAAATTCTGCACAGTATATTTGCATTTTAGTATGGCTGAATTAATGGTTGAGTAACAGATGAGTAGCAACCCAACTTTCACAAGAGTTTCTGTATTTCAAGGGCAGTTTCTTAAGGTTTTTCCACAGTGTGGGGGAATTCCTCCCAGAAAATGATGACTTGTAAGAGTTATGATGTTCAGCCAAGTCCACCATCAACAATGTTTTGGAATGTGGGGCTTCACATCAGTATCTGGTAGGTGGGGCCATATCCTAATGCATTCAGCCACAATTTAGATTTTGTATGTGGATCCACATGTAATTGTTTGATTGGTGGAGCCATAGACCAAATTTTTGATGTGGGAACACAGCTGGGTTTTTTATTTCTGAGTTTGGCTTCTAATCAAATATTACATCAGCTAATTCTTTTAGTTTGCAAACAGCTTTCATCAGGAGGTGGGTGGGTAATTTTAGGCCACTCCATGAAAGCTATATGTTTCTGCATGTCTGTCTCCTTGCAGTGTTCAGTTTGTTCTGTATGTACGGTGTTGAAGGTGATGGGCTGTCTGATTATTGATGTTCATGGTAAGACATGTAGTCAAAGATGGCAAAAATGGCAAAATACATGTTTGCATAGTCTTGTTTTTTGAAACTGGTGAGTTGTGTTGACATTGAAAGGATGTATTTAAATTGATGGGGTGTATTTAAATTTGTGAGGTGTGTATTCAAAGATTATAAAATCTATGTTTGTGTAATTTTGAAATGGGTAAGATTTGCTTAGTTGAGATTGTAAAATATGTAGATTTATAGTCTGAAGTTGAGCTGTTCAATGATTCAATTTTGTTGTTTTTGAATCAATGTTGGTGCAATGTGTAAATTTTTGGTGAGGTGTGTTGTTTTGAAGTTGGTGAGTTGTGTTGTTTTGAAGTTCATGAGGTGTGTTTTTTTGAAGTTGGTGAGGTGTGTTGTTTTGAATTTCTTGAGTTGTGTTGTTTTGAAATTGGTGAGGTGTGTTGTTTTAAAGTTGGTGAGGTGTGTTGTTTTGAAGTTCATGAGGTGTGTTGTTTTGAAGTTGGTGAGTTGTGTTGTTTTGAATTTCTTGAGGTGTGTTGTTTTGAAATTGGTGAGGTGTGTTGTTTTGAAGTTGGTGGGGTGTGCGGTTTTGAAGTTGGCATGGTGAGGTGTGGATGTGTCTGATGTCTGTTTGAATGCACACAGACATGTGGATGGCTCATTGTCGTGTCCTTTTGCACGCAATCAGACATGACCTGACCGTCCCAGGGTCACCTAGGGGTCCAAGAGTCACATCCATGTCCATGAGACACACATGTCACCAACTTCTGAACAACACACCTCATGTCCGTTTGCATGCAAACGGACATGGAACACATCCACACCTCATGACACCTCATGGCCATTTGCATGCAAAGGGACATCAGACACATCAATGCCTCACTAGAACTCATGTCTTTTTGCATTCAAACTGACATCAGCCACACATCCACACCTCACCTGATGTCTGTTTGCATTCAACGTTGTGTGATGTCTTTTTTTGCATGCCAATGGGCATGGTGTAGTGAGGTGTGGATGTGTCTGATGACCATTTGCATTCAAACGGACATGAGGTGTAGTGGGGCATTGATGTGTCTGATGTCCGTTTGCATGCAAACGGACATGAGGTGTAGTGAGGTGGGGATGTGTCTGATGTCTGTAGTCATGCAAAAGGACATGAGGTGTCATGAGGTGTGGATGTGTTCCGAGGTGTGTTGTTTGGAAGTTGGTGACATGTGTATCCCATGGACATGGATGTGACTCTTGGACCCCTAGGTGACCCTGGGACGGTCAGGTCATGTCTGATTGCGTGCAAAAGGACACGACCATGAGCCATCCACATGTCCGTGTGCATGCAAACAGACATCAGACACATCCACACCTCACCATCCCAACTTCAAAACCGCACACCTCACCAACTTCAAAACAACACATCTCACCAATTTCAAAACAACACACCTCAAGAAATTCAAAACAACACAACTCGCCAACTTCAAAAAAACACACCTCATGAACTTCAAAACAACACACCTCACCAACTTCAAAACAACATGACTCACCAAAAATTTACACATTGGCACCAACATTGATTCAAAAACAACAAAATTGAATCATTGAACAGCTCAACTTCAGACTATAAATCTACATATTTTACAATCTCAACTAAGCAAACCTTACCCATTCAAAAATTACACCTCACTACTATTTGCACCAAAACAGACATTGAAGGCATCCACACCTCACCAATTTCAAAACAAGACACCTCAAAAAATTAAAAGCAATACACCTCACCAACTTCAAATGCACCTCACCAAATAATTAAAACTTTGGAACTACATTTTTGTGTGTATTTTTTGATATTCATTTTTAAGACCTATTCTGCACCACTTGACCAAGTCTCATGACTTCAATTTTGTGTTTTGGAGCTCTGGAATCCAAAATGAGCAGCCACTTTTCACTTTCTACCCACTGTACTTGAACAAGGAAAGACATAATTCAATAAATAAACAGCATTTCTGTGGTTCTTTACCTATAGGGCATTGATAAATTTTTGTACTTCAAGTTGATCCTATTCAGACCTTTTGCAATATTTTGAAAGATTCATGTTCCATTACAATTCTTTTAATGAATTTTTGTAACAAACTTTATTTTGAAAATCAACAAAAAAACATTTTCAGGCACTGAATTGAAAGGATATGCATCAATATCAAAGTGGTCATTAAATTTAAATAATCAATAAACTGTTACATTTAATTGTGTCACCCTCAAATTATTTTTTCCCAGCTTCTAGCAACATCAGAAATTTGAGTCATAAATTTACCATAGTTTATGTGTCTGATTGTGGTTAACACCAGGGTCCTTACCAAAATTCATCACCCCTTGCACATGAGTAAAAATATAGAGACTTGAAATTTTTACAAAGTTGAAGTGTTTCTGTGAAACTCTAGATCTATTTCTGAAAATTTTACATTAGAGATGATCTCCGGGTATCCACTGGCAGATACCCACCAGCGGATGCCCCCTTTCCCTTGAATTCCCTGTGGATATCCGGGTATCCCCAAGGATACCTGAGGCCGGAAGGAGGAGATGGCCGGCTAGAAGGAAATCCTTCCAGCCGGCTGCCTCACCGCTGATTTAATGGGCGGGTATCCGTGGATACCCGCTCAGATACCCTCTGCGGCTGATGGATACCCGCCAGCGGGTGCGGATGGCAATTTCCCCGGAAAAAGCAGCCAGATATTTGTATACACGCGGATATCCGGATGTGCCATGGCCATCTCTATTTTACATAGAAGTGCCTGATTCAATTTGATTGTAATTCAATTCTGATTCAGTCATTTTAGAAAAAAACTGCTGATGCCATTCAAATTATCATATATTCTGGTGTTTCTCACAGTTTCATCAGCAAACACAGGGGAAAGCCATGTGCCAAGATCAGGGAAAGTTGGAGGAAGTTGAAAATCTTTCTTTGGAAATTGAAAATACATTCAGTGTAACACCCAGTGAATTTAAAATGAAATTTATAATTATTTCAAGGTACTTCTAGTGATTTTAATTTCTTTTTTTGAATATTTTGAGGTGACTGAGTTGAGACTTAAAGTCACTGGCTTGCCAGTGCCTTGGAATTTCCCCTGGTGCAAGCTGGCCAAAAGACTGCCAAAACTGCCCATTTCTACTCAAAATATTATCTTATCTTTTTTATCTTAAGACTTTTAACCTTTCTGAATTCAGAAATGGATTCCTGGTGTAAAATTAACCCTAGTCACCACTGATCACTTTTACCCAACTCCATTCCTTCATTGACTTTGTAACAATTCACAGTACTCCAAGAATTATTCCAACCTTTAGGTTTCCGCTCCCTCTACCACATGTACATACCAGATTACATAATCCAACTGTGAAAATCCTCTCTGAGCTTGTTGATTCCGCTTCCCAGAGGATTTTCAGACTCCAGACCAACACAGAACACCAACAACCAGACCCAGATCAAGCAAACACTTATCAACCAGAAGGACCTCACTTTTCCTACCTTTCCCACTACTCAGTGTCATTGGTATCATTAGTAAGTCTCTTCTCATAAGTTAAGATAGCATTTTTTTTTCTGCTTGTTTCTCTTCTCTGTCTCTCTCAGTTTCTCTTCACTCCTCTTCAAACCAAAGCCCTGATCAAAGAAAGCAAGCCTTAGCTTCTATTATCTCAACTCTTCCTGTTTGGTAGTACAACTGAAAACTACATAGGTTTCCATTTAAAGAGCCTTGATCTTTGATCTAAAAAATTGTGGTTGACCTGATTCATCAGTGTCAATAACCCATTTCAGTTTCTGTTGATTTGGAGGCGTCAGAGTTAGCTCCGCTTATAACAGCCATCCTACTAAGGAAAGTAAGACTGTCTGCAGCCATCCAAGAGGGACAGTAAGACTGCCATAATTTAATCTTCTTCATAAAATAAATAAAGAACCAAAATATTATCTCTTTATTTCTCTCTTCCTTCAGGCTTCTTCCCTTCTTCTACTTTTATTTGTATTCCTCTTATCCTAAGAAATACATATAAAAGTGCCCCCCAAACCTTGTGTCCTGCTGTCACTATAGAGACCCAGGCTCACACAGTGCCATACTTCATTATCCTGATTGGTTACTACTCACCTCCACTGTCATCTACCTCGAACTCCATGTCGTGACAAGCTATACACTCCGGATAGTGACAACGCAATCCATGCGCGCTTTCGTCCAACCATAGCTGGCGGAGCATCTCTACCAGTCTCTTGGGAGTACTCATGCATTGAGTATCCAGGTATTCCATGTAGAGGTGGCTAAATCCGTGGGTTGAGCGCAGCTGGCCAAGGACTTGACCAAACTGGCCATCTGTCAAGGGTCCTTGAAAAAAGCTGGTGGTTTTCAATTCTTCCAAGAAGGTCGCGAGTCCTAGCTCAGTAAAGAGCCCGTTTGCCCACAAGAGTCCATCTGTCTCGATCGCAGGTTCTATCATGCGGAGAAGAAAAAAGAACAAAAGTAAACATTTCTGAATCAAATTGAATAACCGATCAGGCATACCGTTTGCACCTGGGCTGAGAATCTCGCCTTCTTCTAAATCCGGACCCCCGTTAGGCTTGGTCGTACCGTTTGCAGCTGGGCTGAGAATCTCGCCTTCTTCTAAATGCGGACCTCCGTTAGGGTTGGTATCAACTTCCGTCTTGTTAGACTTGCAATCAGCAGCCGTCTTGTTAGACTTCCTGTCAGCCGCCGCCCCATTGGGAGAAGCATCTACGTGAAAAAAACATGAGTCTATCTGAATACATGGCATTCACACATGCATAAAACGCACCCTTGATCGCTGCTCGAAAATTCAACCACGGATCAGGCTTACCTTCGTTTGCAGCTGGTCTGAGACTTTCACCTTCTTCTAAATCTAAATCTCGACTGGCGTGAGGCTTGTTACCAACTTCCGCCTCCTTAGACTTGCTATCAGCCGCGGTCTGGTCATGCTTGCTGTCAGCCGACTCCCCGTTGGGAGCATCTATATGAAAAAAAAGAAAAAACATGATCAGTATAAGCTTTAAACTAAATTGATGGAATTAGGCAGAATTAGGCTATGCAAGAAACGCACCGTTGATCGCAGCTGGTCCAAGAATTTCCCCTTCTTGTACGATCAGCTTGATATCAGCCGCGGTCTCGTTAGGCTTGCTGTCAGAAGGCGCCCTGCTGGGAGAAACATCTACGTGAAAAAGGATCAACATAAGCATAACTGCAAACTAAAGATGAAACCAAGCAATGCATAAAACGCACCTTTGTTCGCAGCTGGACTAACTAATCCCTCTTTGGCCAAATCTGGAAGCGCAATATTATTATTAGGGTCGCTGTCAGTAGCTGCCTTGTTAGGCTTGCTATCAGCAGCCGCCTTGTTAGGCTTGCTGTTATTGTCAGGCTTGCTATCTGCAGCCGTCCCGCTAGGATAAACATCCACGTCACACACATCCGTGGCAAATACAATTCAACCTCTGGAAGTTTGATTTTTCCTACAAGGCAGTACATAACTTGGTCAGCCGAGCACGAGTCAGGCAACATAGTGGATAACTCGGGTGAGTGTTAGATATGTGAGGCGTGGCACCTGCAATCTAAGGAGCCTGAGGTATATTAAATAGTTTGTTGGTTATCAGAATGATGGTGGGGAGATGGTTTCTTCTTGTGTGTCCTGGAGAAGCTGCAGCGTGAATAAGTTTTTTCACGAGGCTGGGGGACAGAGAGTGAATACATTTTTAACAAGGCTAGGTAGCACCAGCCCTGGCACCAGCGTCCTTGGGTTATTTGGGTTGTGATCCAGGTAACAAAAGATCCAGTAAGGATATCGACAGAGTTAGAGAATGTGGACCTACCACATGCATATTATGTTTCCCTTATTGGGTTGTTTTATGTATGTATTGTAATTTGTCCACCTCCGATATTGAGCAAGCTCTCCGCGGCTTTTGAAGTCCTGGCAACTCTCTTCTCTTATTCTGCCTGGCCGTGGCTCATGATTTCGGCCGTGGCCCTTGATTTCCTTTGACATTTATGTACCGCTACGTGCCGACGCCTACCAAATGCCGGATCTTGCAACCAAGATCTGCCCGCCCGGCCGATATTGTCGCAGACTGTAGCCTCAATACATACATACATGGGGTGTGTAACATACATATTGTCTTTTCAGAGTAGCTTGGAGCCTCTCGAGTTTTTTTATTTTTGTTATGCATTAAAAAGTCTGTTTTATCTTCTTTTTTTCAGGGATTCCGTCATATGTATCCCACCTTTTGCTTCTCCCTCCCCGGCCCCTGTCCAGCGACCCGATGCCCAGCCATAAACTCCCCTCCCAGCCTGGTTGGATGTAGCAAGGGATGGTTGAGTAGGTGGTGGGATTGGGGTAAACTTTGCACCCTGATCCCAAATATGAGCTTCATTTTGCCAGAGCTCTTCTTAGGAAGAAACTAAGGCTGGATTGAAGTGCCAGGTCTTGGGTCGGATTGCATACCTGTCCAAACCCAAACCTGTAAAATCAAAGTTTTATATCCAAGGCATGGGATCTGCCTGGATCTGCCAAAACAATTTTTTTGCAAATGGTTCCAAGCTTCTCTGAAAAGACAATACTTACCAGCGTCTACCACCGCAATCTTCCGATCACATAGCGTCACATATCATCGCAATCTTAAACCTTTACATATTTAAGCTTCTTAAATATAAATACGTGAATATTATGTTTACATCTATTTCCTTATCCGAGCATAACTCCCCCTCTCCAACTCCGTTATCCACAAGCTTCTCCCTCCACTACCTCCAAGCAGTCACCGACAATTCTGCCTCAACCTTTATTCCTCTGAATGACTCCCTCCCTCCAACTCCTACATATCCGCATCCTTCTCCCTCCACCACCTTCAAGCAATCTCCGTATCTTTCTCCCTCCACCACCTTCAAGCGATCGCCGTCTTGATGTCTGAGACGTGATTGGCCCCCGTGGTTTGCCATTGCCGTAGCGCCAAATGCAATCAACAACACTTCCGGGATAAGGATGGCAACTGGGCATCCGGTGCCATAGTTTCGAAAACAACTAGACTCAACCATTGTGCAGCCGACAATCAGGTCACGTCACGATTCAGGGCAGCCCAAGGTGTGTCTTTCCCATCCTGCCTTCACAAACCCCGTCGAAAAGTTAGCTGACGTTGGGCCATGTACTATCACAACTCTAGATTCCGACAAGGACTCTCCCAATGAAGACCACGATGACCACGCTTGCCCTGGGACACCCGAGCAATCTAACAGCAGCTATAACGTATCTGAACTCAACATCCTTGACGTCAACAAACTAGACCTCTCCTCCTCGCGTCCCAGCCCTCGTCCCAGCCCTGATGATGCATATGATTGTAGTTCGTCTTTTTTCCTCTTACACGTGCTCAGTCTTTGACACAAAGCTAACTAATTTTTGGCCTTTGGATGACCCACAACAGGCATGTACCACCAATTGAGCCTCAGGCACTCGGACCCGGCAGTCCTGCACATGTCGCTGATGACTGCAATGCTCTCAGTACTCAGTCATACATCTTCAAAAACTTCGTCTTGGCTTATGAAATCAGGACAGGGACTAATGACCCTTGCAGCTTCCGGCGGACTCGGCGAATCACATTATCAACCACTCAATTTTTGACAAAACGGCACACTCGAAACTCTGCCTTGCGATATCCAAACTATCTTCAATCGATTCCAGGTGAACCCCAAACTAGTAAGGGTTGTCTGCTGCCAGGGCTGTTTTGCCATGTACCCCATCCAACCTGTCAACACCTCGGCTCACCCAAAGGCCCCCAAGTTGCGGAACGCCTCCGAGGCTTGCGTGCAGGCCCGCAAGTTACGGAATGTCCCCGAGATTCCGAGCAGTCCAATGCACTGCATCAACAAGGTGCTTCCCAAAGAAGCAGACTCAGATGCAAAGGCTTTGTTGGAACCTGCTAGCCCCTGTGGAGCCGATTTTTATCAACTCGGCAAAACCGCCTGCCAGCCACTCAAAACTTACGCCTATCAAAATCTTTACGATTGGATCGCCAGGCTTTTCTCTCGTCCAGGAATTGAAGCTTCATTGGAAACCATTGCCAATCTCGCTAGCGAACCCTTCGATCCCGCGTTCGAAGCAACTGACATCCACCATTTGATGATGTGGAAACAGTTCCTTGGGCCAGATGGATCCCAGTACACCAAGAACCCTGACAAACTTACCTTTGGTATTTTCATGGATGGTATTAATCCATACGGCAACAAGCAATCCGGCAAGCACGCCAGCATCACCTTCATGGTCATGGTCTGCTATTCTCCCCCTCTGGATGTGTGATATCATCCTCAAAATGTCTTCGTCGTAGGAATCGCTCCTGGACCAAAAGAGCCGTCGCTCGAGCAGATAAACTGGATTTTACGACCGATTGTAGAACAACTCAAGGTACTCTGGGACACAGGGCTTGTCCTTTCACAAACTCATCTGAAACCTCAAGGACGCCGCATCCGTGCCGCCATCCTCCCGTTCTTTGCCAATTTGCCAGCTCTTCGTTGTGCTCTTGGATTTCCTGGTCCCACATCGACTCGAATGTGTTCTTACTGTCTCTTGACGAAGGACGAGATTACAAACCTCAAGCCTGAAACCTGGCCACCCCGAAACCTGGCAGATCACAAAGAATGGGTGATCAAATCTTGAGACGCTGAGAACCTCAGTATTTGGCGGGCCATCTTACGAGACCACGGTGTAAGATACTTTGTCCTGCTCGAACTACCCTACTGGGACATCATCAACTATCACGTCGTCGACTCCATGCACAACCTCCTCTTGGGGTTATTGAGATGGAATTGCCAAAGATTCTGGTGCATGTCCGACGTCACTGATGAAGCTGAACCAAAACGGGTTCCAGATTAAGAGTTGCTCGGATTGTGGCAAGACATTTCTTATCCAAGTCTCTCCGCCCTTCATCCACCATCCCCAAGCTCAACTGACAGCAAAGACTCCGGCGTGCCGTTCAATCATATGGAGTTCCGGTCCACTGAATCCAGCAACGACAATTCCTTCTCGCCTTTTATTGATTCAGAAGGATGGGGTACAGGGGCCCTGGACTTCTCCCAGTGAAGGCAAGATCATATTTCGCAAGGATACCTTGGCGTTTATCAACCAGCTCCTACCTCAAATCCGCATCCCGACTTGGATCCAGCAAGCACTTCCCGTCTTGGGCAAAGCTGCGTTTGGCAGCCTAAAAGCCGATGAATGGCGCAACTTATTCACTATCCAGCTACCACTACTTGTCAGCCTTAGAGCCAGCACAGCTGGCCAAAAGACTGCTTTTACCATCTTTTCTCACTATAATATTACCATAACTTTTTACTCATAAGATATTTCCTGAATCTGACTTCAGATATGGATTTCTCTGCTAAATTAACCCCTAGTCACCACTGACCACTTTTATCTTACTCTAATCCTTCATATACTTTGCCTTATTCCACAGTACTTGTCTAAATTCTGCTACTCAAGAATTATAATTCCCCTCTACCACAAGTACATGTAATCATTACGTAATCCAACTCTGAAAATCCTGTCAGAGGATTCTAAGTTCGCATTTTTCAGGATCTTCAAGGTTTTTAGACTCACTTTGAACCAGAACCACCAACAAACCAACCAACCCCGTTACCGCTTGGCGCTTAACTTGTCGAAAGGATTCCAACTCCCAGTTTCACCTCCACGTGGTCGTGCTAGGACTCTGACAGTTAGTATTCTTTCTTGTTGCTTGATTTCTCCGTTGCTCTGTTATCTCAGTCTCACATATGGTTCTTCAACCATATCTTTCTCTCTAACTCTCTCTCTCTTTAATCAACTCAATCATAATCTTCATCTCTTGTTTGGTGGTAAACCTGAAAACCACATAGGTTTCCCTTTAAAGAGCCTTGATCATAGATCTAAAAAATAGTGGTTAGTTCTGAACATATTCAAACTAAAACCTTCTACAGTTTCTTTTGTAGAAGAGGCTAGTCTTTGACAGCTTATCAGCCATCCTACTAAAGGAAAGTAAGACTGCAGATTCAATCAAATAAAAGATAAAAAACAAATAAAAATATATTTCTCTTTTTCTTTCTATTTTCCTTTCTCTTGTCTTTCCCCTTTTCTGCTAACTTCTGGTTGTATTTCCCTTCTTCCTCGAAATCCAACCATTAGTTCCCCTTATTCTCTTGTGTCCTGTCGCCACATAAGAGGCTCAGGCTCACACTACTCCTTCCTGTTCTTTGGGCATCTGGAGGACCAGCTGCCTGCTCACTCTTCCGTAATTTTGCTCATCTGGTCTCAATGGTTAACCTAGCGCTCAAGAGATCGATGACCTTGGAAAGAGCTGAGAAGTATCGGCACCATACACTAGAATATCTCCAAAGTTGCCTTCTCCTCTTCCCCGAGGTGACTTTAGCTCCTAACCACCACATGTCAATACATCTTGCCGATTGCCTGGAGAAAATTGGTCCATCAAGAGCTTGGTGGTCTTTCTTGATGGAGAGGCTCATGGGTACAATTGTAAGGCCGCTCATAACAACCGTTTTGGTATGTTTTTTCTTACTTGGATTGGATTCACCAATCAGCAGTTGACTTCTTTCCGTTTGAATGCACAGGCCAGCTTGAGATAACATTCCTGAATAACTTCGCGCGCCTTGGAAATCTGCAGGCATTACTGTCAACACCGGAAGCATTTCCAGAGCAGCTAAGGCCCTTCCTCCCTCAGTTGCAAGCCTTCCAAGATCCGATCCCTGCCAAGGTTGAAACACTACGCAAATATTGCCAAGCATCTCTTGATTCAACTACGCTGAAAGCTCTGATCAAGCGACTGAACGAGCTCTTCCCTTGTCCCACCGGAGCGCTGTGGATCCCATCTGACGAATGGGAAAAGAAGAGAAAAGCTGAATCTACAAAGTTTCTTGCCGTCAATCCTTGCGTAGAAAAGCTGTCAAGTTGCTTGATCAACAAGGTGCGCTTCTCCACCTTTCGAGAGAATCCAAATAACAGCGTGATTGCCCTACAAGCTGGTTGCGCGCCTCAGTACGGAATCATTGAAGATATAATTTCACATTGGCGAACCTTGGGGAATGGAACCAGCAAGACCAATACTTGGCTGGTGATTCAACCCCTCGTACCATGTAATTTCTCCAGTCCATTCGCAGGTATAACCAAACAATTTGACCTGCAAGTCGAACTCAGGATGCCTCATACTGAGACACTTTATATTAACCACACGGAGGAGGTTCTAGCTCATTGTGCATGGATTAAGTATAAGGCCGGTGAAATATTACCAAGTATCAAAAAAGAGTGTATTGCTTTAGTATCTCTTGATTGTTGAACATGTTTATCTTTGAATTATATATTTTGATTGATATCTTTTCACATCTCATTTTTGCTTGTGCCTTTACTTTTTCTTGCTTTTGTTCTTAGCTTGTACATAGTTGTACATAGATATACACGAGGCTCAATACACGTTCAATACAACCTGGTTTGCTGACTGCTTGCGACCTCCGAGAATGAGCACAGGCCGGCCGGACCTAGTCTAAGCAGACCATCTGGGGCCTGGTCTGCACCCAGCTCACCAAATCAATTTTTTTGGTCCGCCGAAACAACGGTGGGCCAGTTACGCTAACCGTAGTGTTAGTGCAGCTTAGTGTTAGCTTTTTAAGCTACGCTACACAAAAGTTACTGTTAGCGAAAAATTTGGCCCACTAACACTACAGGATTTCTGAAAAAACAAAAAAAAACTTTAGCGTAGTGTTAGCTGACTAAAAAAAACAACAACTAACACTAACCAAATCCCTTGTTAGTGGAATTTTAGCGTGGTTAGTGGGCTAAAAAGTTACACTAACTGTTAGTGTAATTTTTTGATAAGTTACACCAACTGTTAGCGTAGTGATCCCCTCAGTTACACTAACTGTTAGCGTAACTGATCAAAAAGTTACACAACTATTAGCATAACTGATTACTGAGTTACACTAACAGTTAGCGTAACTGATTACGCTCCTCCAATTGAAAAAAGTAGGTGGTATCACTGGGGGTGAGAGTTTGTTTGAGAATCTGGTTTCAAAGCTCCTGTTTTTTTTTGGCTTGGCACCGTTTCTTTGCTGCTTTCATACTGGCATTATTATGACTATCAAGAGATAAATTAGTCCCCAGGGTTTGAATCACCCCAAGATCCATTTATTCCATCATTTAGTAGCCAGCTGCAGGAAAGGGAAACAGGAAGAGTAAGAAGAAGCAAAAAATTAGATCAGCAACCTGTGGAAGCTTAACACAAATTTGAAATCATACCGCTTTTTTGGTCCGTCCTGTTTGTAATCCACAGTCAATGGTCAAGAAAATGTGTGTGGGGGTACCTAAATCAAAGAGGGGGGAGGTTAGCAAGCATCAGAGCCAGGGTAGCAGTCTTCTAGTTTGTTCCCTTTTGGGGAAGCGATTGATTTTTGCTGGTTGACTTTGAGTAGCGATAACTTTTGCAAAAAAGGTCCGATTTCCTTAATTTTTGGTTCGTTGGAAATCTGGCATCAAGGACTACAACTTTGTCAGCCATTGTGTTGACTAAAAGCAAACTGTTGCTGAGATCGAATTGATTGAAGTTAGTCCAATGCAATCCAATGAGAGACCTAAGTTTCAGAAGAGGGAGTAAGCTGAAGAGACTTTTGGATTGGAGGATATAATGGAGGTGGTTGTGATGAGTATTTAATTGAGATGAAGATCAGATTGAGCTTTGATGAAGTTGATGATGAGGATGAGGATGAAAAATCTTGATGGGGTCTTGCTTGGATCGGAAGAGATTGGAGGTCCGACATCCATCTCCCCTTGCTTGAACTTCAAGTTCAAACTCAGAGCCCAGGGATTGAACATGTCACAGGCATGTCCATGACATCCTCTTGCTGACTGAAACTCAACTCACCGAGCCATTCCTCATGTACTGCTAGTCATGTCGACAAGGAGGATGTCTGGAGATGCTACTAACCTGTCATGTCAAGTGTTCAATTCCACCTCAAGGCATGCATTTGTGTTATTTTCTCACTTGAAATTTTTCATTTGTCCACCATTGTGTAGTGTAGCTTAAAATATAGTGTAGCGTAGTGTGGGACCAGTTACGCTAAATGTTAGCGTCAACTCAGTTACGCTATCTGTTAGTCAAAATTTTGTTAGTGAAAAAAAAGTTACACTACCTGTTAGTTTAGCGGTGATTATTTGAAGCTAACACTACAGAAAATCTGAGAGAAAAATTTCACGCTACGCTGGCAGTTAGCTCAGCGGTCTTGAGCGTGCGCTAACACTACAGATTTTCTAGAGAAAAAAAAGGCTGCTACACTAACAGTTAGTGGTCAAATAGCGTAGTGTAGCGTAGCGGCCCACCGTTGGCCGAAATGAATTCTTAATGTCGATCATCGATCAACATGTGTAGCACCACCGATATAGCACACTCATGAGTGCAGAAGCCTGCCAACAGGCGAGTTGTCGACTTGTCGGCGGGTGGTGATATGCAGAATCGAAACAAAATCAAGTGGTCAGGTTTACCACCTCTCATCCTTTGATTATTCCATGATCCATGTCGGTGATCCTTTGATTCCTTGGTTGGCATCCCTTGACTCGAATAAAGCTTTTTTGTCGACCGTCTGATTTCCCTCCCCACCACTCTAGGCGACTTGATTTCCCTGCGGCAATCAACCATTTTCTCAAGCTCCTTCATCCAACCTTATTATATAATGCACCCCAACTCAAACAAGCAAGGTGTGTACTGTACCCCCGTACACAAGGCCGTGGATTCGACTAATTATCCTCGATCATCACCAATTATTTAGATGCGTCTGTCACGAGCGCTGGCGACAGCGACAAGACCACTTCAAATCTTAACCTCAACAACCCCAATGATCAAGGTATGTCTTTCCATCATAAGATTATCTTCTCCGTATTCTAATCTTTCCGTAACAGGGACCACCGGTGTGGAACTACTCTTGGGAGGAATAGAGCTTGAGAGGGATGAGTGCTTTATTGTGTTGGATTGATCAATCCTGTATGTAGTACTCGCATGCTTGTACTGAGTTATGCTTATATCAAGCCTCCCAGTATTACTGAGTTACCGGACTTCTCTCCTTTTTTCTCTCCTCATTTGAATCAATACATATTTATTCTCATCGTCAAGTCATCATCGTGAGTTTCGACCTCAGTCTTGTTTTCAGTCCCTGGTGTCCCTCAACATATTGGTCTGCCTCTCTGATAACAAGAAAATATAAGAGTATGGACTCTTAAGGAAAGGTGTGGCTTTGGAGATTTCTTGAGGATGGTATGTCTAATATGTCTTATGTTTACTAGTCTAAATATACTTTTCACAGATCAAGGTATCCCAAATGTTGATGGGCAAATACCTGGCTAATAATGGGTGATCAGTTATCTGGATTGCTGGGGCAGGCTCTGATGATGGACAAATGAAGAGAAAAACAAAGCTCCTTATATACAAGATTCTGGGGAGTGGCCAATTTGTGATTGGAAGATGGATGGAACAAAATGGAACAAAGAATGAACAAGGAAGAAAATTGTAACTATGAACAATGTGGCCTAATTTAGTGTGGCACTAAGATAAGATAAGACTAGACTGAAACCAAATAAAGGGCCAAGCTAAGATAAGATAATGAATTCAATGTGAAACAGAGAGAGGCTTGGATAATAATATCAAGGGGAAGAGGTGGGGGTAATTATTTCTCCCAGATGGGGATTGAACAGCCAATGAGAAGAAAGGGCCAAAAGAGGACTAGTATGAAACGTAACTGTTGTGTGGGAATTCTTGGCATGAGATGGAAGGAGATAAGAGATAAGAAAGATTCTTTAGAGGAGTTTGAGGTTATATTGAGAAGGGGTACTAGTGTGTAATTGGTGTGTGAGCTAAGTCTTATCAAGAGTGAACTAGGAATTTGGCCATGGGTTTCATTTGAGGGGTTTCAGAGGTGACGTGGAAGATGTCTTTACCCATGAGGGGGGGGCAATGGTGTGGATAACTGGGTTGTTGGATTTTTTTGAGGGCCTGGGGGAATTCCTGAGGGGTCTTGAGTCTGTGATTCCTGTGTGATATGTAGTTATTCTGTGCCTTGAGGATCAGGATTGGCTTACCACACCGGCAGGGAAGATAGGGCTAGCGAGGAACTTAATGATCGCAAGGAACTTTGTGCTGGCGAGGAACAAGGTACCGGCAAGGAACATGGTGCTGGCGACGCCGGTGGGTTTGTTAATGAGCATGACGACCAATCCACCGGACCCAACCACAACAAGCAAGGTATGTCTTTCCCTCTCTTGGTTTTCTCACATTCTACATGACATTTCTTTCTGATCTTGCCTATTTCTTTCCTTCTGATCTTGCCTAGCCAGCGGTGGGCCGCTACGCTTTTGGCCTAAAAAGCGTAGCGTAGCGGCACTTTTTTGCGCCAAAATTTTGTAGTGTTAGCGCTTTTGTAGCGCATTTTCGCTACTCTACGCTGCGCTACAGCGCTTTTAGCGGAAAAAGCGGCTAAAAACCGCTAAAAACCACTGTAGCGCAGCGTATTGGGCCCTTTTTTGTGGCCCACACGCGTAGCGTTAGCGGTGTCGTGGCGGAATTCCGCTACCCTACACTTAACGCTAACGGGAATTCCACTGAGTTACGCTACACTAACCGCTACGGTTAGTGTAGCGGCCCACCGTTGCTGCAGCCGAGGCGCATGAGCTCTTTACGAACAAAGAGCTTGCAGAGGTTGTCAGAGTATTGCTCAGCGCGGGAAACACAGGCATTTTTCAATGCTCATTAACGTCCGTCGATCAAGTGATTCAATTGCTAGTCTCCACCTACGGCTTTACCTCCCCTTTGAACATGGGCTACATCGACACACCCACAGGCAAGATACTGCGGGACGAAGTGCTTGAAGAGATTTTTAAACAATGGTGCGCCAGGGCAGATTTTAGCCGATGGAGTTATTATTATCCCGATTACATTGCCTGTCAAAGATTGACAGACAACATTGACAACACTGGAGGTGAGTTGGATACAGTAGATGACGGCAGCAAGGATGATGCTGATTGTGATGCTGGTTTTCAATGTTGTCCAGACCATGTTGGCTTCATCGCAGGTACAGGGTCTGATGGTTGGACCTGGACCATCATTCACCAGCCTCATCCTTATTGATTCTTATCCCTTATCATAGCCTGCTGCTCTCTTGTGTCTTATTCTGTTATTTATCCTGCTGCCGCTCTGCTCTACTATCTAATTCTGTTATTTAGCGTGAGGCCGCTCTTGTATTCCATATTATGTCTTGGAATACATTGAAATCAACAATGATCCATTTGTAGATAAATGAATGAAGAAAAGAATAAGAAAAGGTTGATTGCTGATTATTTGGGAGCTGAGTGTAAAAGAAAAAAAAGGACTGAGTTGAGGAGTAAAATACAGTATGCTGAGCAATTACTGAGCTGAACAAATTAGTTGAAAAAAGCAGTGGAAAAAAGTCAGAAAGAAAAATAATAATAACTGAGTATTATGCTGAGGAGAATGCTGAGTAGTTGAACAGGCTGAGAAGTTAAGAAAGAAAAAAAAAACTAAAAAACTAAAAACTAAAAAAAAGAAAAAAAAAAACTAAAAACCCCCAAGTTCCCCCCCAGGTGGACTATGGTCTGGCCTAATCTGCACACCAATCTTGATGCTCTTATCTTCTGAAAGCTCAGACACATTGAATCTCAAAGCGGGGAGTGATAATCACACTCCACCCCCCTTCGCCCGGGCGAGTGCCAACACTCCCTTCTTGAAGGGAGTGTGGGACCGCACT